AGCGCCTTATTGGCATGGGGTCCTTCTCCAGTTCTCTGGAGGGGAAAACCTTACGGCGTTAAGCGCCGCCGGATGAAAACCCCTAGCTTCATCTCGGTTGTGGCTTACCCACGCCGCTCCTACTTTGCTTATAGTTATAACGGTTCTCACCCACCGCCACAGCGAACTAATCTCGTCTCTTCCTTCGCTGTATTATTCTAATACTAGAATAATAAGAATAATAGGGATGTAATTAGGGACGTCGCCTTCCTTCGCCGCTTCTCCGTCTCAACCTTTACCGCCCCTTCCTCCGCCTTCCTCCCGCTTCTCCGTCCCATCTTCCCGTCTGCGTCCCTACCCCTCCGCCTCGTCGCTCCTATTTGCATTCACCTCCGCCCCTTTTGCCTGGCGATAATTAGGCAACATATTATATTTAGCTAACTATATTTTTCTGAAAATTATATCTCTCTTTAAAATGGGTAATATTATTAGTTATTAATCCTAATAGGTAATTCCATTAACCCGAAAGTATTCTTTTAGGGCCGTTTAGATAGTATTAGGCTTAGTCTTTTTATATAGAGTAATTGTCACAGGGCTAGATCACATACCCTATGCCTTACCATAGTACATGACCAGATTACGTGCTATCGGTACCGTACTACGGTACTAGCACCAGCCCGGGCATTGGGGCTCTACGCAACCTACCCTACTAAGTTATACAACCCTTGTAAGCCCAGGCTAGCGCACACTCTCCTCTTACTTCCTTCGTACAACAACAACAACAAATATCGTAACTTACTTATAACAGTACCCTTACCCTATAATAATTTATTGTACCTTCAATTGCGTTACGTACGTATAAAGTAATTATTATCGCAACTAATAGGCTAACATTTAATCAATTAGTCCAACGTCCAGCCCTCATAGGACTAAAGAACTATAAACGGCTTCAACAACTATCGCAACCATCGTACAAACTCAACTTCAACTACAACTACAATCACCGGCTAAGGCTATTTCAATTACCCTAAGAACGATAATAATACCGAATTGATTATTAATAACTATACTAATACCAAAACCGATTTTCAAACCGATAGCACCCATTATTCCCTCTTAAACGAAATACCTATTATTAATCAAACGACGGCGTTCATTTACAATATAACTAACGATCAACCCATCCCTACTAGACAAAACTCGCAAATTTCACCCC